GCCAAGGATCACAAAACCTTTGTTGCAAGTTGCTTCCTAGGAGCCTTCCCACCAGTAGACTTGCGTGCTGTTTGCTTAGTACGAGCCATCTGAGGAACAATTATCATTATATTAGTTCCAAGTACCATGAACTACTACATAAATTCACCAGATATCTAAGTGGATTGTATAAATTAAAGTGAACTAAGGCTATCAGAGATTATAAAATATATGATCATCGCAATTATTTCCACCCAAATCCCTTCCAAGGACCACAAGATAATCTCAACATCTATTGTTTACATTAGAATCACAACTATCTGTTGTTTTGAGGGGTGTATGAAATCAAAATCATATTTATTCTTTCTGTTGAAACAACAAAATCCTTGTAGCTAACAAACAAGTTCAAGAACCAACAAATGACCCCAAAATTAACTCATGGGTTCTTCATTCTTTGACATCAGAACGTAATAAATCGAATAAATCAAATCAGATTACGTTCTACATGGCGCCTACGCAAGATTATGTCCCGCTACAAAAACTATTAAATCACCACGTATATAACATCAACAGTAGTACAGAAGAAGGCGCCAATAATCACCATTTTAAATCATAGATTATTTTAGAAGAAAAAAAAAGAAGAAGAAAAAACATCTTCATCAGAACAAAGAATCCAAAAACGAAAGATAAATTAAAAAGAGAACTAAGGATCTGATACTTGCAAACAATCTAAATCTCCATGAACAAGAAAGATACCATTCATCAGAGCAAAAGCAATACGAAGTATCAATCCCAAGAAAAACAAAATTAAAGAAACAAAAACAATGTCAAGAAACGTAAACCGACATCATAAGCTGCACAGCATAAACCATAAACCCTAGCGCTAATCTCATGCGATTCTATCAAGATCCATAAACCAGATGGAGGCAAATTCAACTTGAATGCAGAACTCGAAACTAATCCAATACGAGATCAAGAAGAATCTAAGAAAGGTTTACCCCTCTCTCTCTCTCTCTCTCTCTCTCTCTCTCATATATATATA